CCCGTATTCAGAATGCGCTTTTATCTCTAAAATTCTATAGTATGCGTAACGTAAATTATAGCATGTTAGCGCGCTAACATCGTTGAATACGGACCATAATATATTATACTTCATACATGCATGCAGAGTTGTGCGCGTTATCGTTACCATTACTTGGAAAGTATAAATAAGGAGTTTTTGCAATATACCGTTTATCCCAGATACGGTGAACGCTATAAAGTCATATTATTTTTTTCTTCACACCTAATTAAGAAAAGGATAACGTGACTTTTAGTAGGGGAGGCCAACCGGGGATTTTGGGATTTACTCGAGCGCGTCAGAATAACATAAAGGGGGAAAGCTTGCACCCTAATAAGTACCTCCCACCAAATATTAAACCTCTATATAGAGCCGTGGGTCCAGGGGAGCCCGTCAGATTAGTAAAAAAAAATCGATCGTTCAAAAAACTCGAGCGCGTCAGATTAAGGTATAGTGTGTTAATTACATGTAGAAAAGTGTACATTTCAATAATCTGACGATTTCAGCGTGACGTAAGGAAATGGGAGAGTCACAAAATTGCAAAAAAAAAACGTGACATGGATTTTCTCGAGCGCGGTTAAATTTTTGTTTATTTTGAAGGAAATTAATCAAGGATCACGGGAATAATATAATCTGACGATTTACACAAGCCGAAGTGGCCAAAATCATTAATAAAGTGCGGTGCGCGCAGCGGCTGAGAACTGTGTACTTCCCGCTCCGCAGCGTCTCTTCCTTTCGAAATCGAATCGATCTTTGAATATGAAGATGATGAATTTACCACTGACGATGAAGACTAAGGGACTTCTAGGTTACTTATGTATCGGTTATTTTAACTTGTTCTTAATGTATATGGTTTCAACCACAAATATGAGGACGGTGTATATAATTTGTATATACATGCATCTTCTCAGAATTTCCTGCACGGAAAAAATGAAATTGTTGAATCTACCATCTAAATAGTAAGATATGCGCCAACGAACGTTTTTTAGTTGGTTTTACTATTAACATAGTAAGCTGCACTATCTACTTTGTTGAAGCTACTATTTGGATAGTAAAATCAACTACAAAAGTTCGTTGGAACATTATCTTATTATTTGAATAGTAGATTCAAGCATTTCATTTTTTCCGTGTGGCTCTGCATTTTTTGTTCAACCATTTTTTCAGCACATTTGTATCTTTCAAAATAAATGCAGAAAAATTTAAAAAAATCAAGTTTTTAGGATGTTTTTTCAAAATAGCGGCGACGATATGGCCGAGCGCCAATTTCTGTTGTCATATTCATAATCAGGAGGCAAAAATACATCGAAAACATGTTTTTTGGATTTCGAACATACAGTCTGTACAAGATTAATGGAAAAAAAATTTTTCAAACCGACAGATTAATGAAATCCCTCCACATAATCGTCAGATTATGGGTCAGCACGTCCAGGACATCAAACTGAACCCTCTGTATCTTAATCTGACGTGCTCGAGTATTTCAAGGTCACGATTTTTTTTTGCATTTTCAAAAATCGGCCATGACTCTCGGTCGCGTCCAAATCGTCAGTTTTTTGAATAGGAGCTTCTTTAGGGTCCAATTAATATCCCCTATGAAAATCTGACGCGCTCGAGGAAATTTTTTTTTCCCCTTTTTTTGACCCCTTCCTACAGCTAACCCCACCACGCAAACCGTCAGATTAATATTTATCCGTTATCAGAAACACATGGGTCTCTTACACTATTAATATCTGACACGCTCGAGTATTTCATTTTCACTGTTTTTTTGAAAGCCTGTACACGTTCCCCCCACCACTGAAACGGCATACATCATATAACCTTTTTTTCTTTTTAGCATCTAATCTTCACAATCCAATAGGTCCCCACGCCGCTCGAGTAAATCCACATTTAGCCTCTCAACCTCCCCTACTATTTATAGCGTTCACCGTATCTGGGATAAACAGTATTGCAAAAACTCCATAATGATTCATTACTTTTTCGTTACTTCTTGTTATAATGCTAAAATAAGTTATTAGATTTTAAAATTACATTAGCTGATAATTAATTTAATACTAAATGTGAAATAAATATTGTATTAAAACTTGAAACTCTCTACTAACTAGTTTGTATATAGAGCAAGCTTTTCTCTATATTAAACTTATCTATAGTTTTACTAATTCTTTATTTTATTTAGATAATATCGTTATTTTTTTTAATGTACTCATTTTTATAAGAATTTAGATTAAACAGACAATAGATTATATATTGTTTTTAAATGTTAATGTTCCTTGGTAAAAATAAATCGATGAAATCTTTATCAATAGACTCATTTCAGTATAATTCATAATGAAATGAGTCAATTGATAGAGATTTTAGCGATTTTCAGCATAATAGTGTATTACTATTATGTGTATTTCCCTGGTGGAAATAAATCGTTGAAATTGCTGAAAATCGCTGAAATCTCTATCAATTGACTCATTTCATTATGAATTATATTGAAATGAGTCTATTATAATAATAGTGTTAATAGTGTATTACTTATATTATGTGTATTTATTGTCTGTACTAAAAATTTACGGTATATATATGTAATGTGAATTATATATTTTCAACATCGGCAGTGCCTATTAGAACACAGTATAAGATATTGGCCCATATTCAGAACGCGTTTACAACGATGTTAGCACGCTAACATACCATACTTTACATCACGCATATTATAGAATTTCAGAGATAAAAGTGCGCTTTTATTGATAAAAGCGCGTTCTGAATACGAGCCATTAAGTACAAAATACTTTTTTAGAATTTAAGAATAAATTATAAAATAAGAAAATAATAGGAAACCGAAGTAACGGTAAAATTCGTTATCGTTACCTTAAAAATATAATGATGTTACCGTTACCGTTACAGACAGAAAAAAATAACGATCATTACTGAAAAAAGTAACGGAAACGGTAATGGCGTTACAAGTAATGCGTTACTTCTCAACCCTACATGCATGTCATTAAAGACTATTATTAGGGGTATAAATAAGTTTCCGCCGTTTGGCAAAAGATGGTGCCAGCAGTATGTTATGGTTAAAATTGTCTGCTGTAGAACGTCATATCGTAGGAT